TGTGTGATTGATCCGTGTGTTTAGAATTTGTTCCCAAACAGGTGCTCTTTATTGCTTATATCCACATATATTCCTATAGGTGCTCCTCCACCAGAGACATACATATATACTCTCACCTCCTTTTATGACCCAAATTGCATAGGTCAAATACCTCCTTTCCCTTTTAACCCTGGAAGGTATACTGCATAGATGACTCCACTTTCCTCCTCACTCTGCTGCAAACGGTCTCCTCTTTATCCCACAAATCCTCCGCATATGTAAACAGAAACGCTTGCCATAGTGTAGTATATTAATATAGCATAGTTTATTAAAAAAAAAAAGTGCACTCCCATTTAAAAGTGTGCTTCTGGAACACCACAGTAAAAAAAAAAAAAACCTTGTTATAATGTATTTTCGATGTGTTCAGGAATTTCCAAGATGGCGACTGGTGAACTTCCGATTTAGTGGCTTGACTTCATCGGTTAAGGGTGTTTGCATTCACCCCTTTCCTCCATGATTGTGCACAGCGGGAGTCTGTCAGCAGGTCCCATCCAATCACAGCCCAGTGCTCTGTGTTGGAAAACAACACAGTTGCTCCTGCCAAAAATCCAGTGTTCTCCTGTATACTCTGCTGTGTCATCTCAGATGGTCTGATCAGCCCTGCCCAGGTTACCTCTGTTGATTATAGATCCTCCCCTAGGTTATGAAGATGGAGTGAGTAGAAATTTTTCTGAATGTAGCACCCACTAGTGTGCATAGTTAGGTAAATTAGCTCAGGTCAGGCTTCTGTAGCCTCCCCCTGGTTCTGGAAGTTTCCAGAAACTTCTAGAAGCCAGTGGGCGGCGGTACAAAGGCTGAGTTTGACCAATGCCCAGGCAGGAGGCCTGGCAAGGTAGTAAGATCTGCCCGGGGGGACCCAATAATCCAGCGGCTTCTTATGTGGTAGCACTACATATAGTCCTAACACACTACCTGCTCTAGTGTGACCAAACTGCTCTTCCAAAGATGCAGTCCAGTGAGCATTGTCACCCTAGAACAGGAGGTGTTTCACTAGCAGAATCACTAGGTAAAAAAAAAAGCCTCAGAAATTAATGCAGCCAACTGGTGAGCTGAAAAATATTACTTTTTTATTCTTGGGTTTAGATACACTTTAAAGGAGAAGTACACCCTAGGCTCATTCTGCACTCCTGTGACACCTTTTCAAGTGACAGCAGGCAGAAGCCTGCTGTCAGCCTACGTCACAGAACCAGTCCAGGCTGGGGAAGGATCGCAACCATATGTCAGAAGCGGCACCTATGACCAGAGTCTGGAGCGGCACCTAGCTCAGCCTCTCATCAAGCCCTCCACTCCACAGCTCAGCTCTCCAGTAAGCACGGGGAGGGGCAGAGCAGAGAGCGGCGACTGACAGTCACCGCTCTCTGCTCACATCGGCCCTTAGAGCTGGCGGTGGACAGTTCCGATGCTGCATCCACCTAGGTAAGTATGATTTTAAAAAATATTTATATTTCCCTACTTCTCTTTAAGGATCCATCATGCAATATGACACACCATGCACTTTCACTTCATTTCTATCCTCATTCTCTTTCCAGATTCTGTAACTGCAGCTGATAGAAAAGCAAATAGTTGAAGTATTATTCTGTGTTCAAGGCAAATTATTCATTTGTAAACCGGTTCTTTTCATGGAAGCCTCTAAAATCCTTGTCAGTGGATTGTCAGGTTTGGAATCCACCTTTAAGGCATGATCAAAGGCACACACATTTCCACTTGAGGTAAATATTCAGACAGCAATTTAGAGCTTCTACATTCAGTAGTATTAATGAAGATGCACTTGAAGGCTTTAAGATCTTCTGGTTAAGCTCATTGTGTGGGGATTCAAAATCCTTGTCAGTTTTCATATTCCCACAGGGCCGATGACGTCAACCCGCTAAACCGGAAGTTTACGAGTCGCCATCTTGGAAATTCCTGAACACATTGAAAATACATTATAACAAGGTTTTTTTTTTTACTGTGGTGTCCCAGCAGAACACTTTTAAATTTGAGTGCACTTTTTTTTTTTTTATAAATGACGCTATATTTATATACTACACTATGGTAAGCGTTTCTGTTTATATATGCGGAGGATTTGTGGGATAAAGAGGAGATGGGACCGTTTGCAGCAAAGTGAGGAGGAAAGTGGAGTCATCTATGCAGGATACCTACTCGGGTCAAAAGGGAAAGGCGGTATTTGACCTATGAAATTTGGGTCATAAAAGGAGGTGAGAGCATATATGTATGTCTCTGGTGGAGGAGCACCTATAGGAATAAATGTGGATATAAGCAATAAAGAGTACCTGTTTGGGAACAAATTATAAAGGCATGGATCAATCACACATTATGGACTTTAAAAGTTGTATTTATTTAGTGTATTCACCACTGTTGCATAATCACATTGTCTGGATGCTTTAATTCATATATGAGGTTATAGAGATATATGCGTAGCACTATTATATGACATATCTTTTGTGTGTGGAAACGCATGTAAGTGTCAGCAGCACTGGTATACACAGGAGATTGAGGAGTTATTTGTTGCTCTGAAGTTTTATTTGTACACATGTCTATAAGGGACCTGTGTTAAGGCTTGATGAAGACTAGTGTCTCTTGAACGCACTGAAAACTAGTTGTGACACTAGTTTTTGTCAAGCCTTAAAGTGTTAGTAAACCCAGGACCCTGCATTCACTTTATCTGGTCTCCCACAGTACACAGAACATGGAAATGCAATTATTTTAGTAAATATAAACTGCTAAATGCCTTTTCTCATCAGCAGTTAGATCAGTCTTTTTGACGTCTTAGTGTTCAACACAACAAACACTTTACTCCTGCGCTAGGAAAGGACTCAGTAGACCCAATAGGAATGTTCTGGAATTTTCTAGAATATGCACTGCTTGCTGCCCTCAACAGACCGGGGTGGTCCGAATACACTGGATACAAATGGAGAAACAGAAAAAGGGCGCACCGACCTAGTGCGTTATCGTTTAAAATAATTTATTAAAGAAACAAAAATAGGTATCATACTCACAATGGACATAATAACACAGGCATGTCAAACTGAACAAGGTGTATGATCCAAACAACATCTGAGTCCATACGATGGAACCCTGGATGACCAACTGGCTAACGCGTTTTGAGGACACAACCCTTGGACTCTGAGGAAGAGGTTGTGTCCTTGAAACGCGTTAGCCAGTTGGTCATCCAAGGTTCCATTGTATGGACTTAGATGTTGTTTGGATCATACACCTTGTTCAGTTTGACATGCCTGTGTTATTATGTCCATTGTGAGTATGATACCTATTTTTGTTTCTTTAATAAATTATTTTAAACGATAATGCACTAGGTCGGTGCGCCCTTTTTCTGTTTCTCCATTTGTATCCGGTGTATTAGTGTTCAGCAGAGCACTGGTTACAGCTTGTAGGAGTTTTCATTTTGCTCTTGAAGGATGCAGAACCCCTGAGCTCTGTCTGGACAGTGCTGGTTGGCCCTGTGCTGATCACATGCACTCCCCCAAGAAAAAGAAAAGCCTCTCTAGCAATTCACACCAACCTGAGCATGTGCAGAGTCACTCCACACAATATATCTTATCAGGAGATAAGAGGGGGCACTGGAAGAAAGGGGGTATCAGAGAAGACAGGATCAAACAGCGTTTTTACACAGTGCAGAAGATTAACCCCTTAGATTCCTCAGTGAGTATATCATGAATGCTTTACTGCATATATAGTCTGATTTTACTGTTGTGGATTTAGTAACACTTTAACTCAGGTCCCTTAGTGCATTCTTTTGGGAGTTTATTAACATCAACTGCTCAAGCACAGTAAAAGGGGGGGGCTTCTTCCTCCAAAATGCGTTGGCTGTATTTGATGCTCTAAATGCTTCAAAAGGTCTTTTAAGGGAAATGAACATTTGTACCAGGATCTCCTCCATACACATCCAAAAAATTCCCATCTGGTGTGTAGTCCCTTTGTCGCTATTAGGGAGGTAGAAGCCAAGGACCAGAACAGAGTCAATCCACACTATATTTTGATCATGAATCTGCTTAATTCAAGGAAAGAACACTATATGGTATATTCATCAGAGTTAATTTTGACCTCTAATAGTCCAGTGCTATCACACACACACACACATCAGGCAACTCAACCCTTCACTTCCAAAGACAATGGTCATGGTATACGTTGAGAGGATGAATCTCCTAAATGGGTCCACAGATGGCAATACATACCTGACAGTGGACTGACTTCATTAAAAAAATGAGCTTTGGATACTGTAATAGAAGCTCAGTATGTTTTAGGCAAGAAGACTGTTGGATGATGCATGATCATAAATCTGAGATAAGGCTTACTACAAGATGTGTACTGACATGCACATGCAAATGTATTAGCTGCAAACTAGCTGCAAACTAATGTGTACACACATTTTGTACACTTGCCACTAACATTGACGCCAGTTTATTTAAGCTAGATTGTGACATGAACAGATTTCTGAGTGGTCTTCAGCTAGTTCCTTCTTTACCTGCACCCTGACCTGCTATATTTGCCTTACTATGCATGACCCAGCTTGCCCCAGACCTGTGTCTGGATTCCTGCCTACCTGTTTGCTGACTTTGCTCCTGCATTATGATCTTGTACATCGCTGCCTAGCTGTGCACGGATTGCTGCTTGTATCCTAAATCAGCGTCTGCCTGATATCCCAATATCTTGCTGCCAGGCTGTTAATCACCTTATGGCTTGTACTCTGGTTACACTCCTGACTGATGATATAGTATCACCATGTTCTGGTCTCTGGTCCCTGTCTGGTGATCCATGGTCAATGGAATCCTTCAACCAACAGCTGGCTCTGCCTGCTAAACCAGCCCATATGTCACTCAGGGTCTTCACACCATCTGTCGTCACCAGGGGCGGACTGACAACTCTTTGGGCCCCCTGGGCAATAGGGGATCATGGGGCCCCTGTGTCCTTGCCCAAACTAAAAAAAAAAACTATGAAAAAGGTACCACAGGCATCTCATGGGGCCCCCTACTGACCCCCCCGGGCAACAGGGGATCATGGGGCCCCTGTGTATTTGCCCAAACTCAAAAAAGCCTATGAAAAAGTTACCAGGGGTATCTCATGGGGCCCCCTACTGACCCCGGGCCCTTGGGCAGGGCCCGGGTTACCAAATAGTCAGTCCGCCCCTGGTCGTAACTATCAGAGATGTTGGACAAGAGGTGCAAGAGAAGTCCCCTCTCCTGATTGATATCCACCAGGTATGTGATAAATACGCTTGACAAAAGTAACATGACAGGCCTCATACAAGCTTCCTTCCATGGCCCAGTCTCACTTATATTTGTCTACTGTGAACACATTTGAGCATTTACTTGAACATCCAGCATTAAGGACTATGATGATTGCAGATATACAGTACAAGGCTCTCTGCAGCTCAGCTTTCCCCTTTCTATCTACAAGCTTTTATATATATGCTTTAGAAACAATTGAGTACTGTCCGTGATACTTTTTTTATTTGCACTAACATACAATTTTTTAGGACAGGACAAAGTCCAATGCACTAATACGGCTACAATCACCTCAAGCATATATATGCTTTGAAATGGTTGACTGTACACTCTGTAAGACATTTGCCTTATAAGCCAGAACCATCAGTACCTTCAACAGAACATTCTGTTTTAGTTTTTGTGATAATAATCATATAACAAAAGGGATGAAGCCTTTATATAATGGCATCATCAATTATTGCTACCTAAAGCACAATGATGTCTAAATGTGGTCCTGTTCCAGGATTAGTAAGCAAAGCAATTCATTTTCCACGGATATACCTGATTAAAAGTAAAACTACTTTTAAACTACCTACACTGGAGACTGACAACCAGGGGTGGACTGACAACTCATGGGGCCCCCGGGCAATAGGGGATTATGGGGCCCCTGTGTCTTTGCCCAAACTCAGAAAAGCCTATGAAAAAGGTACCAGGGGCATCTCATGGGGCCCCCTACTGACCCGAGTTTCTAAATGGTCAGTCCACCCCTGCTGACAACTAATATAACTAATAAATACCACTCCATATTGTTCATACATGGCATATTATTTAAATGCTGACGTGACTATAACTAGACTTTTTAAAATCCCCTTGATCTACATAAACCAAAGGACATTATGGGGTTTATTTACTAAAGCTGGAGAGTCCAAAATCAGACTCCCTTCTGCATAGAAACCAATCAGCTTCCAGGTTTCATTGCCAAAGCTTCATTGAACAAGCTGAGGTTAGAAGCTGATTGGTTTCTATGCAGAAGGGATTGTCTGATTTTGGACTCTCCAGCTTTAGTAAATAAACCCCGTAGTGTCTGATTTTTTTTTTAAACCCTAGCTGAACATCTACAACCCTAAAAACTTGTCTGCTCCAGTGTGGACTGGACACAATCTATATTGCATTTAAATACCCTAACGCTATGTACTCAACACAGCCGGTTGTCAGAGCTTCAAAAAAATATAACATTTAAAGTGCCTAATATATTTCATGTCATCTTCCCGTGTAGAAAGGGAAAAAAATTCAATAAAAATGGCGGACAGGATTGATCTTATTTCACAAATGTTTAGCTGGCTTTCTCCGACGGCCTTCAACAATTATTAATGTAGAAGCATGGCACCATGATGGTGGGTGGGAGATTAGTGAAAGGGGAGTCTGCAGTCAATATGTTGTGTAAAGAGGAGACTACGAGGTTTGCAGTTGGCCCTATGATTAGTTACTGAGTCCAGTTTAGATTAAATTACTTAACATATTGTGCAAAACCCTTCAAGTTTATCCTCACAGATGACTTCTTGCTCAGCTTTGAATATGTGTTTATTTCTTTATTCTGCAGAAGTTCTGCTTGTGTTCACCTTGTGGAATCATACTAGCATGCAGTTTAGTGATGCAGTACAGACTTCTCGACTGCTGAGAAAAACTGCCAGGGAGAAGAGATTACAGCACTAGTCTCCGTTTTCGGGGAGGCTGACGGTGCAGTTCACAGAGGAGCGCTGAGCAAACCTGACAGCAAGATTTAGAGGAGGTGAAGATGATAGAGAGGTAGAAGGGAGAATGAAATAGGGACAACTGTGATAGCTGAGTTACAATAAACTCTGGAGGAGAATGTTTAAAGTGAAACTCCAGGAGTATATAAAAAAATAATGAAAAGAATCAACTTTTGATTAAAAATTAGTATATGAACAGTATTTTTAGGTTCAGTTAATAGAAATACCTGAATGCACATCTTTCAGGCAAAGAGTTAGGGGTAGCACTAGAAAGCAATGAGGCTTTGATGGATGCACATTTGCTGATAGTGACGTACTAACAGGAGGAGAAAGCAGATTCATTTGAGAGATGATTTATCAGTAAGCTTTTACTCTTTCATTGTTCAGTCAGCAGACTGAGTTTCTTTGTTGTTGACCAAACTGTGCTTCTGATGTAGTTGAGGTCCTAGATCTGACTGTGCTGCCTTGCTGGGTGCCTAAATAACAAAACTAGAAGTACAGAATTAGGCAGGCCATAGACGGGCCGTTTATCTGCTGAATTTTCGGCCGATAAACAAAAAATCGGTCGGCCCCCGTTGCTGATGTTGCCACCCATGTCCACGAAAAACGGTTGTTTTTCGTGGATTTTCCAGCATGACTGATAAAAATAAATTAGGAAATCCACGAAAAACGGCCGACGGGCTGGCCCCACTTATGGCATGATTATCGGTCGATTTTTTCGTGCGGACGAAAAAATTCGGCCAATAAACGACCTGTCTATGGCCTGCATTACAAATCCTTTTTTATATAAACCTGTTCCATATATACCTGTATGTATTTAAACTGTGTGTTCAACTGTTTGCCTGAAGTTGTTTAAAAGTCGCTATACAAAATAGAAAAAGCAAATGCAAATGTAGTGGTACTTAAAAATATTCAGAGACTTAAAGGGTAAATTCACATTTCATGAAAGATGAAAAGGTAATTTAACTCCAATTATCCTGGCCACCTCTTTGCACCCTGCTGCAAATAAGACTGTGATGTGATAGTCACATTCAGGGGCGGACTGACAACTCATGGGGCCCCCGGGCAATAGAGGATCATGGGGCCCCTGTGTCCTTGCCCAAACTCAAAAAAGCCTATGAAAAAGGTACCAGGGGCATCTCATGGGGCCCCCTACTGACCCCGGGCCCTTGGGCAGTGCCCGAGTTTCCAAATGGTCAGTCCACCCCTGCTGTGATGCCCCATGCTGATGGTGTAGCAGACCGTACACTGCACACTGCCATACACATCCCTGGAGTGAGTGTCAATCATAAGGATTTCAATGGCAAGAGTTCACTTGTCAGCATGGCCACATAACCATCCTGATCAATGAAAAGTACTTCTTTCTTCTTGGGCACCTTCTTCTTGGACACCAAAAGAAGAAGAGAAGCTCTTTGATGACCAATGAGTGCTAGTCATTGCAGTGTACAGTTTATAGACCTATGCACCGTCAGCATGGGGCATTACAGCCATTATGTGTAGCTGAATCCAAGGGGATGGCTAGGATATTTTTTTATACTTTGCATACTAGCACATTATGGAAGACTTACCTTAGAAAGAAGCCCTCCAGCTGTGCACTGTCACCACTACATGAGGCTTCCATCTTTATCCAGTCTTCCTTCTGGGTCCGCAGGCTTTGGCTGCTTCAATGGATGAGCCACCGATGACGTCACTCCCATGCATGCATGTGGGAGTTTCAGCCATGGCATAAAGCTCTGAAGAAAGGGCATGGGTATGCTATTCCATCAGAGCGCATACGCCATTATTGTCACTGGCTACTGCTCCATAGAATATCTCCTAAACGGTTCATTTTACCTACAGGTAAGCTTTATTATAGGCTTACCTGTAAGTAATAATACACAAAGTGACTTTACTACCACTTTAAATAAAATATAAACAGGTTTAGAAATGGGTGACGTAGCCAGGTTAAAAATAAAAGACCATTATGACGAGAGTGTAATAGATACATGAATCAACATTCTCCAATATTCTATGCTGCAGAACACTATAATTATAATTAAAGATTTAAGCCCAGTAGTTTTCAAAACTTCTATAATGGCCAAAAGAATGAAGCAGAGGGGTTAAATAAACACACCTTTATAGTGAAGGTTACTCTTTAGCTGTGTCAAACTTTCTGAAAACTAAAGCTGGCCATAAATGTTTCAAATCTCAGCCTGTTTAGCAGGGAACGGCCGAGATTCACACCATCTATGGCAGGCTGATTGTACCCAATTCTATTGTTGTATGGTTTGGGTACAACCAGCCTGTTGGATTTCTGATGCAATTATTGTCAGCAGCTATAGTCACCAACAATAATCACTGTGTTCTCCCATCAAGGATGGCTCCCCCCATGGCCCCTGCCGGGAGATAACAATCACTCCATGGGAGGGACACAGTCAGTGTTGATGGGGGAATCAAGTTATTTTGTTTCCTGCAACCCATGGTTGCAGGAGAGAAAATTGCATCCTGTATGGCTGGCTTTACTCTGTAAATTAATCATTAAATACTTCCCTTGCTGTCTGTGAAAATGAACACCATTTCATTTTCAAGAAAATCTCCTGTGATATGGCTTCTGAAACTGATACTCTGGGAGCATCGAATTGCTGTGTTCTCAGCTGAGCTCAGTGGTTCCTCTCATCTACCGCCACATACAGAGCTAGTTAACGATGTAGAGGTCAGATGAAGGAACCAATAAGTTCAATGGGGGGCACACTCCTGGAGAGTTTGGCTTCAGAAGATACCTTTCAAGTTGGTCTTTCTTTCACACAATGGGGTGGTGTGGTCAGCAGCAGAGGTAAGTATTCACTTTCTTTTACAGAAGCCTTCCTCAGCTTGGGTTCGGTGAAGCCATAATGTTCTTCTTAAGGTTCCTAGGTGTTCCTTGAGCAGTGAGCAGTGTTGTACTGAATTCCTATTATATGGTAACAACATCGAAGTAGCAGGAGCATTGGAGCAGTGCAGCCTTTCCTTTACTTTCTCACATAAGTAACCACTGACATCAATATTCCCACTGGCCACTGACCCCCAGTTTGTGGAGGCACTGCACTTAGATCACTAATGTAATAGGCATTCTTTCCACTGACTACTAGTATAAGAGAACCATCCCCTCATTGACCACCAATGTTGTGTGCTAATATACTGTAAGTAGTTCCCTGAAACCTGAAGATTATTACAAGGGTGTCTCCATGGTGGAAATGTTGAGGTGGTTTTACAGTCCTGAGCACTTCTCTTTACACATCTTCATTTTTGTCACTCCCCTCCTTCTTATATCTTGTTGTGAACGACCCAGCTTTCAGGCCACCACTACAAAAACATCCAAATTTGTAAACAAAAATATGTGTTGACTGGGGCCACATCCATCTACTGCTGTAGAAAGGATCGGTAAGCAGCGTCTCTTCTTTTTGGTCCACCTCTGTGACCAAGCCCCGATGGCCAGGGCAAAACACATCAGCAGGCAAGTCTGGAGTGGCTTTGGCTAAGGCCACATCCATCTACTGCTGAAGCATTGGGTAGGTGAGTGGTGTCTCTTCTTCTTCTCAAAAAATCTTTTACACTGTATGTATTAAATACATTGGTATGGGCAATTAAACATATTTTGTATAATCTATTGACTGAGGCCTCCCTCCTTCTTCTCTACTTCATAACTATTAGACTAACCCCCATCTTTCAAAATGTTTCTTTTGATTCATCCCTGAACCCAGTGCTTCTAGTTTGTCACCAAGCTGTACTAACAAACTGTACATTATTATTTTTATTTTATTTCATTGGCCAAATGTTACAGCCACTATTCTAGTCAATAGCTTTCTGACATTAAAAATAAAATAATAAAAAACAAACTTTTTGTTAGATCAGGAAATAGTCAAAAGCCTTGCCATTTTTTTTCAATCGGCTATATGTCTTCTGCAGAACTTATAGGCAGCATACATGGCAAGCTGACAATGCTGCTCCTAATTGTGAGACAGCGGTTTAGCACTGTCAGCCTGCAAAATAAAGGGCTGTTACTGGAAAAATGTCCAACTAAAAAACTCTGCAAATGATTCCCAAAACATGATTTTCATGATAAGACTGTATAAAGAGAGGCATGATGACAAACATTGTTTGAAAAATTGGTTGAAGAATAGGTTGTACGTACACTTTACATATTTTTGAATATGTGTGAGTTTTCAATGGAAGAACTAGAGTGTAATTGCAACTGCAGAACTTGCCCAGCCACTGCACAGTAAATGCTCTGTACTTTTTGCATACCTAATTGAAAAAAAAAAAAAAAAATCTCAGTTTTAAGTTAGTGTTCAGTTATGAGAACTCTCACGATTCAATAAATGTCATTAGTGCATACGGAATGTTTATTAAATTCAGTACACATGAATATTTAGCATAAGAATTAGTAGGTAAATCAAGCATGTGTCTGAATTTGCTCTGTGCAAACATTGCTGAGTTTTCATGCTGTAAGGTACATGTCTGTGTAAGTCTTGTTAAAGCAACCAAATCCTACAAATGTCATTGTGTATGTGTATATGCTGCTATGAGTTCTGCTGTTTTTAGGCGCATGTCAAGCCAAAAGATTTCATTTTGGAAACACTGGGGCAATCTTAGAACCTCCATTGGGTTTTTAGAGTTATCTCTTGCATTTTGGAGAGATTTCCCCTCTCTTCAAAGTCCTGCTGACAATGATTTCAGCAAACAGGGAGTGAGAGGAACTCTCCAACAGCACAGATGGAAATACAAATACCTCTTCCGTTGAGTAAGGCAAGACTCTAACCCATGGAACCCTTCAACACGTATTTATTCAAACTCTTGAGGCAAACAAGATAATTTGGCGGGCTCACTGACTCTGGTGGGAATGCTCACTTGAAGCAAGGCTCTCCTTCAATTGGTACAAAAAAAATTTGTCTCAAACTATAAATATACAACAGGAGAACCAAACCAAATGATGAAATAATCCAAATTGATTTGAAGGCTAAGTTCACCTTTTGTAAAATAAATAAATAAATGCACACGATTTTGCCTGTAAAAAAAATGTGCATTTATTATTTTTTTAAGCATGGAGTCTGCAAAGCATTGCACCCACAATCAGAAGATTGCAGGTGTAATGTCAAGCTACTACGAAACTCCTGACAGCTGTCTGTCTATATACCTCCATAGGGCAGACAGTTATTCAGCTGCAGGAAGTGTCAGAGAACTATCAGCCATCTGCTGCAGTGTCAGATGAGACTTGTAGTTCATTCATTCATTCATTCATTCATTCATTCACAGATCATTGTGAATGAATGATGTGGCTGTGTGGGCAGAGCCCTGCACAACTGCATTGTTTTTAAATTGTGACAGAGGGTGCCATGCTGCTGCTTTAGTAACATGTTACAGGTATGTTACACCCTAAATATGGGTGTAACATGTAACATGTTACTAAAGGTGAATTTATCCTTCAGTGGTCTATAGTACGGCAAGATTACATAAATAACCAATGCATTTCAATGGTGCATGTTGGACAAATGCTAATTAGAGAAGTGCTCAGTAGGGTATCACACCAATGTTGATTAGAGCAATTTTCAGTGGGGCATGGTGGGTCGATGTTGATTAGAGCAGTGCTTAGTGGGGCATCATGGACTAATGTTGATTTGAGCAATGAACAGTGGGGAGTGGTGAACTGTTGTTGATTAGAGCAGTTCTCAGTGGGGAGTGCTGGACTGATGTTGACTAGAGTAGTGCTCAGTGGGGCGTGGTGGAATGATGTTGACTAGAGTAGTGCTCAGTGGGGTGTGGTGGAACAATGTTGATTAGAGCAGTGCCCAGTGGGGTGTGGTGGAATGATGTTGATTACAGCAGTGCTCAGTGGGGCGTGGTGGACTGATGTTGATTACAGCAGTGCTCAGTGGGGAGTTGTGGACTGATGTTGATTACAGCAATGCTCAGTGGGGAGTTGCATACTGATGTTGATTAGAATAGTGCTCAGTGGGGTGCTGTGGACCAATGGTGCACAATGTTGAAAGAGCAATGCCTAGTGGGGAGTGGTGGACTGATGTTGATTAGAGCAGTGCTCAGTGGGGCATGTCTGAACAATTTGATTAGAGCAGTGCTCAGTGGGGTGTGGTGGAATGATGTTGATTACAGCAGTGCTCAGTGGGGCATGTCTGAACAATGTTGATTAGAGCAGTGCTCAGTGGGGTGTGGTGGAATGATGTTGATTACATCAGT